AGCTACTCGGGAGGCTGAGACAGGAGGATCACTTGAGTCCAGGAGTTCTGGGCTGTAGTGCGCTATGCCGATCGGGTGTCCGCACTAAGTTCGGCATCAATATGGTGACCTCCCGGGAGCGGGGGACCACCAGGTTGCCTAAGGAGGGGTGAACTGGCCCAGGTCGGAAACGGAGCAGGTCAAAACTCCCGTGCTGATCAGTAGTGGGATCGCGCCTGTGAATAGGCACTGCACTCCAGCCTGGGCAACATAGCGAGACCCCGTCTCTAAAAAAATAAAAAAAAAAATAAAAAATAAAAAAAATAAAAATAACAATAAAAAGAGTTGCCATGGTCATGGTGTCTCTTTACAGTAATAGAAACCTTAAGACATGATATGAACTGGTATTTTATTTTGTTTTTTCAAGACAGGACTCAGAGGTCTGCCTACCTCTCCCTCCCAACTGATGGGTTTATTTTTTTTAAATATTTATTTATTTATTTATTATGTATACAATACTCTGTCTGTGTGTATGTCTGCAGGCCAGAAGAGGGCACCAGACCTCATTACAGATGGCTGTGAGCCACCATGTGGTTGCGGGGAATTGAACTCAGTACCTTTGAAAGAGTAGGCAATGCTCTTAACCACTGAGCCATCTCTCCAGTCCCAACTGATGGGTTTAAAGATGTGTGCCACCACCACCTGACTTGTGAATGATATCTTACTATGTCTTATTTTGCTAATGACTAATTATGTTGAATATCTTTTTATATTCTTACTGCTCATTGAATATTTTACTGGGATACGTGCCTATTCAAATCCTTTTCTCATTTTAATAGTAGCTCATTTACCCTTTCTAAGATTGAGTTGAAAATGGTCTTTCTTTGTGGGAAAAAGAATTTAATGTATTCCAGGCTGGCTTTGAAATTACTATGTTCGAAGATAAACTGGAACTTTTGCCTCCTAAGTACTAGAATTTTGCTGAGCTGGAGATCACACCCAGGGCCTCAAATATGCTAGGCAAGCACTCTTCCCACTGACCCACATCCCTAGTCATGCAAATGTTCTTTATATAATCCGGGTACTTGTCAGATATATGGTTTGCAAGTATTATCTCCAATTTTATGTTTTTTTTCTTGCTGATGGTTCATCAATGCAAAAAGGTTAATTTTGATATAATCTATTTTTTCTTTGATAGCTTTATATGACATGTATAAGAATGAAATACATTTTAATTAAAATTTTTATTTTTTAAAAATTTTTTATTGATATTTATTGAGCTCTATATTTTTCTCTGCTCCCCTCGCTGCTTCTCCCCTCTCTCCTTCAATCCTCCCCCAAGGTCCCCATGCTCCCAATTTACTCAGGAGATTTTGTCTTTTTCTACTTTCTACTTCCCATGTAGATTAGATCTATGTAAGTCTCTCTTAGTGTCTGCATTGTTGTCTAAGTTCTCTGGGATTGTGGTTTGTAGGCTGGCTTTCCTTGCTTTATGTTTAAAAACCACCTATGAGTGAGTACATGTGATAATTGTCTTTCTGGGTCTAGGTTACCTCACTCAAATGTTTTCTAGCTCCATCCATTTTCTTGCAAAATTCAAGCTGTTGTTATTTTTTTCTGCTGTATAGTACTCCATTGTGTAAATGTACCACATCTTTCTTATCCATTCTTCAATCGAGGGGCATTTAGGTTGTTTCCAGGTTCTGGCTATGACAAACAAAGCTGCTATGAGCATGGTTGAACACATGTCCTTGTGGCACGATTGAGCATCCTTTGGATCTATACCCAAAAGTGGTATTACTGGGTCTTGAGGAAGGCTGTTTCCTAATTTTCTGAGAAATCACCACACTGACAACCAAAGGGGCTGTACCAGCTTGCATTCCCACCAGCAATGCAGGAGTGTTCCCTTTTCCCCACAACCTCTCCAGCATAAATTGTCATCAGTGTTTTTGATCTTGGCCATTCTTCCAGGTGTAAGATGGAATCTCAGAGTTGTTTTGATTTGCATTTCTCTGATGACTAAGGATGTTGAACATTTCCTTAAGTGTCTTTCAGTCATTTTAGATTCCTCTCTTGAGAGTTCTCTGTTTAGGTCTGTACTCCATTTTTTTTTATTGGATTATGTGATCTTTTGGTGTCCAGTTTCTTGAGTTCTTTGTATATTTTGGAGAGCAGACCTCTGTCTGATGTGGGATTAGTGAAGATCTTTCCCCAATCTGTAGGCTGTCGTTTTGTCTTGTTGACCGTGTCCTTTGCTTTACAGAAGCTTTTCAGTTTCAGGAGTTCCCATTTATTAATTGTTTCTCTCCGTGTCTGTGCTGCTGGGGTTATATTTAGGAAGTGGTTCCCTGTACCAATGCGTTCAAGTGTACTTTCCACTTACTCTTCTATAAGATTCAGTGTGGCTGGCTTTATGTTGAGGTCTTTGATCCATTTGGACTTGAGTTTTGTGCATGGTGATAGATATGGGATAGATATGGGATTCATTCTTCTACATGTTGATATCCAGTTATGCCAGCACCACTTGTTAAATATGCTTTCTTTTTTCCATTTGATATTTTTTGCTTCTTTATTAAAGATCAGGTGTTCGAAGATGTGTGGATTGACATCTGGGTCTTCTATTCGGTTCCATTGGTCCTCCTGTCTGCTCTTATGCCAAATTAAAAATATTTATATAGATTGGATCCACAAATCATTTTCCTGAAGCCTTAAACATAACATTAAACACAACCCTGTTTGGGAGGCTGGAGAGATGGCTCTGGTTAAAAGCTCTCTGCTAATCCACCCACTTTATTCCCAACACCCACTTGGTTGCTACAATGGGCTATAACTCCAGTTCCAAAGCACTCAATGCCCTCTTCTAGTCCTGGTAGGTAGTGGGTAAGTGTAATGTTAGGGTTTGCAAGAAGTCCTGTAGAAGACCGCCATTCACATATGCAATCAGCAAGAGCGTTTTATTAAAATTCCAACATGGCAACGATGGGGGAAGCCCACATGCTCTTTTCAAGCAAGATTAGGGGAATTCCAGGGAGGAGAGGTTAGTCTAGGGGCTGATTGGTAAGTTTATATAAAAAGTTTCTGGGTTGCTATAGGATTGGTTGGTGATTTAATGGTTAGAGGCTTTTCAGCTGCAGGGTGGGAGAAGCGATCTTTAGTTATCTTAAGCTTGCACAAGGCTCTAGGGCACCCTCTGATTGGTTGCTCCTGGGTTGCAGCTTTCCCAAGAACTTCTTGCTCACCTCCAGTCGGTTCCAGTAAACTGAAACTGGTCTCTGGGAGGGCTTCTAGCAGGGCCTGTCATGGCCCTTGTGTGGCTCCCGGCCCTCTCATAAAATACACACACATACGTGTAGGCAAAACACCTACACATGTGCCCATAAGTAAAAATAAATAAACCTTTTCAAAACAAAACGTAATCTTGTTTCCACAACTGAGGAGTGGGGAATTACATTATATCTTACAGGCTAGTGTTATGGTTTTACTGAAAAATGTTCCTCAAAGGTTCATCTGTTTGAACACTTGGTTCCAAGCTGGTGATGCTGTTTGGGGAAGCTAGAGAACTTTTTAAGAGGTGAGGCCTAGATACAGGAAGTGGGTTGTCTTAGGTACTCTAACTAGACCCTACTTCTAGCCCTCTCTCCCTCTCTCCTCGCTCGCCAGTCCTTATTCTCCTACGCTGTGAGGAAGTAAGAAGTCTTAGCCACATTCTCCTGCCCCTGGGGAGCCACCATGCCACAGGGACCCAGACCTTAGCACAGCTGACTCCACGATGAAAGCACCATTCAGGCCACAATCAGCAGGGAAACCTGCCAAAATGAAAACAAAGACCCAATCCATCAAGTCCATAGTTCTGGGGAAGTCTCTAAATGTCTGACCTGCTTCATCCATCCCTAACTGAGTGGACAACAGGAGAACACACCACGAATACACCAATCCACCAAGGGATCAGCCAGCGGTGAACCTAGAGAATGAACCAATTTGTCCAGTTTCTTCTACAGCTCTGTAAAACCCCTAGACGGGTGCTCAACAGCTTTTTCCTCCCTTGGCAACCTCTTCCAGGAGTGCCTCTCACTTTAACATCTCACTTTTCTTAAATACCTCTTATATTTGTTATTATTACTACTACTATTTTTTTGTGTGTATAGGTGTTTTGCCTGCATGTATGTCTGTGAACCACTTGCATGCAGTGCCACTAGAGGCCAGAAAGTTTCAGATCCCCTGGAACTAGAGTTACAGATGGTAGTGAGGCGCCATGTGGGTGCTGGAAATTGAACCTGGGTCCTCTGGAAGAACAGCCAGTGATCTTAACCACTGAGTCATCTCTCGAGCCCCTCCTTAATAGCTCTTAATGAAGCTTGCATTCCACATTGCTTCCCAAAGAGTCTGCATCAATGAACAATGAACCTGAAGCCACTGTCCCAGATAGATAATTTGGCTGCTGTGTGTATTGGCCACCCTAGGTCCTTGGCTTAAAAATAACTGGACCAAGAAAGGTCCAGGTGCTCTCAAAAACTCAGCTTGTTGTAGGCCCTTGTCTTTTTGTTTTGTTGTTTTGTTTTTTGAGGCAGGGTTTCTCTATGTAGCTCTGACTGTCCTGGAATTCTCTCTGTAGACAAGCTGGCCTCAGACTCAGAGAGATCCACCTGCCTCTGCCTCCCCAGTGTTGGCACTAAAGGTGTATACTACCACCGCCCAGCCAGCATTGTGGCCTTCTTATTAGAGAAATGGGAACTTTGTTGCAGGAAGCAGTTTATTGTGACCCAGCACCATCTTTTTATGGCAGTGGTTCTCAATCTGTAGGTCGTAACCCCTTGGGGTAGAAGGATCTTTTCACGGGGGTTACATAGCAGATATCCTGCATATCAGATATTTACATTACAATTCACAGCAGTAGCAAAATTACAGTTATGCGATAGCAGCAAAATAATTTTATGGTTGGTGGTCCTCACAGCATGAAACTGTATTAGAGGTCACAGCATTAGGAAGGTTGAGGACCATTGCTCTGTGGGAATTTTCTACTTTTTTTTATACAACGCTTCATGAGTTTGCGTGTCATCCTGTGCAGGGGCCATGCTAATCTACTCTGTATTGTTCTGATTTTAGTATATGTGGTGTCTGTCACCATTCTTCTGGCCTTCCCTGTCACCTGGGTACCCATTCCTTTAAGAGACGAGCTCCACCCACCCCCAATTACTCCCCCTTCCCACCACTGAGGCAAGCTGATTTTGTGCCTTCCCTCCATCTCAGCTCTCTCTCTCTCTCTCTGTTCGTCCTTCTTCTGAAGAGGCAACCATTGCCTCTCCCTTCCCCCCTTTCCTCTCCCTTCCCCTTGCCCCCCTTCTCTCTCTCTCTCTCTCTATCTCTCTCTCTCTCTCTCTCTTTCTCTCATCTCTTCCCTCCACAATACCCTTACCTTTATTCCCTTTCCAATACCCACTAAATAAACTCTATACCCATGCGCTCTCCGCATGGAGTATCTCTGTCTCCCACCCACCAGGGGATCTGCAAGGGTTGCGCTGCCAGAATCTTTCACTGTCGAAGCGAGCCCAGAAATTTTTATCAAAGGCAGAGACAAATTTTCCAGAACAATTTTTTTCTGGGTTTTTGGTTCCTTTGTCTCCTATTTAGGGTGATTTACATTCTGAATTGATGCTGTAAACTACTGGGCAGTGAGGATAAAGACCGTAATGGGAGAGGAGAAGGGGGTTTGCAGGGAATAAGTGGTCAAGTTGCAGATATACTCGAGGACAGTGTAACTCTTTCCTGTGTGGTCCTGTCTCCTTAGGGTGTTATTTCTCTTGAGACACCATGACCACAGCAACTCTTATAAAGGGAAACATTTAACTGGGGCTGGCTTACAGTTCAGAGGTTTAGTTTATTATTACCATGGTGGGAAACATGACAACATGTAGGCAGACATGGTGCTGGAGAGGTAGCTGGGAGTATTAAATTTGTATAGACAGGCAGCAGGAAGAGAGAACCATTCAGTCTGGCTTGGGCTTCTGAAACCTCAAAGCCCACCGCCAGTGACACACTTCTGCCAGCAACGCCACACCTCCCAACAGTGCCACTTCCTCTGAGTCTATGGGCGCTATTTTCATTCAAACAAACACAGTCCTTTTCTAATTTCTTCCCCTTGGCTCACAGGGGCAGTATCATAAATGTTTTTTCATAAATATTTTCCTAGGTTCAGACAGCCAAGTACTCCCAAGGTGCTGCAGCGGTGGGCAAAGGGGACCAGGCTCTATCTCAGGGGGAGCAGCAGAACTTGGCATCCGCTATGGGGTTCGTTCTGCAGGCCTGCAAGATGGAAGAGTGTTGTGTTCCTTCAAACAGTCGTCTGGCCAGGGAGGAAGGGGCTCAGGAAACACCGGAAGTAAATGACCTCAAGTCTGGGAAAGCAGAAACAAGATTTACAAGGTCCTCCTCAAGGTCGTACAAACAGTAAACACTGGGCAACAGAGACTTCCTCCAGGATGAGCTGCTTGTGGGAGAATCTCACAACTATCAGTGGTTGCAAGTTGTGCGGGGAGCTCTGGGGATGATGGAGTTTTCCTGAGTTTCACGCATGCTGGGTGGGCTCTTGGTGTCGTAGCTGTCTGGTGTCATCCATGCTCCTATAAGTAACCCCTCACCCGTATTTCTGTATGTATCCCCAATAAACTCACTGGTTTGCCAAGTTGGACTTGGACAGAGTAATTTCTTTGGTCTTGCCCCCATGTCCTGTCAGTATGTAGACATTCATTTATTCCTGTTTCCCCAGGAAAAGACACACAACAGAGTGAGAAGGTAATGGAAGTTTACAGCAGGGCTCCAGAAAGACAGAGAGACCAGCAGAAAACGAGGGTTTTGTTAATACATTCCAAATTGTGTGTGTTTGGAGGGGGGTGTTGTAATTTGGGTTTTTTTAAAATATTTATTTATTTATTATGTATACAATATTCTGTCTGTGTGTACGTCTGCAGGCCAGAAGAGAGCACCAGACCTCATTACAGATGGTTGTGAGCCACCATGTGGTTGCTAGGATTTGAACTCAGGACCTTTGGAAGAGCAGGCAATGCTCTTAACCACTGAGCCATCTCTCCAGCCCCTGTAATTTGGTTTTTTATCTGTTAGGTCAAGCTTTATCTGTTAGTCATAGGAAGGTGGGGGCAAAAAATGTCCATTTAGAAGGAGAAACATAGTCAAAGATAAATTGTAATTAGGGCCTGAAACATTCCATGCTCCTCATACCATTGAAATTCTGGTCAGTCATTCTTTGCAGGCCTAGCTTCTTTCTAGGATGGGGGAGGGGAATGGTACACGTGACTGGAGGCCTGAGGAAATCCTCTGATATCCTCTTCACAAAGGTTGCCTATCTGCATTAAGCCGGGGTCTCACATTAGACTGGACAGCGTGGCCAGCCAGCCTCCTGGATGGTCATGTCTCCACCTCCTGACCCTGTGATTACAAGTACAGGCCACTGTGCTCCCCACTGTCACATGGGCAATGGGAATCAAAGTCAAGTCTTTGTGAGGCAAGCACTTTATCGACTGGGTTATCTCCTGCCACTAGACCCCTTTTCTTAGAAAGTACTCAATTTTAGCTACTTCATTACAGTAACAAAAATAAGCTCATAGACTGAGTCTATGACCTCACTCCCTGAATCTTGGCAACTTTGTCATGGATTCCACTCCCAGGTTATAGCCACCGCATGGCTCCTAAGGCTCACAAAAAGTTGCACATTCTCTTCCTAGATCCCTCAGCTTTCAGTGTATGCTTCTGGCTTGTGAACTTGAGAGTCTTTGAGAGGACACATGGTGCCTTTGGTCAACAGTCCCAGGAGAGCCCAGTTTGGTAAAGGAGGCCCCAGAGTTTCTGTGCCTGGACCAAGTTTCTATCACACAGAATGTATAGGCCAAGTGGAATGGTGGTTGTTTCATGTGACCAAATTTGGGGTGATTATAGGTGATGGCATGCGACACATTCTCTAAATCAGTAAGAACAGAACCAACACAACATAAGCAAATGTCATCGTCTGAAGAGTAAAGGGAGGGAGGAGAGAGAGACTCAGAGAGGAAGAGAGGGAAAGAAAACCACAAAGACCTGCTTGCCTCTTCAGAAGAAGAGCAGAGAAGAGAAAAGGAGTGGGTGGAGCTTGTTTCTTTTTTTTATATACATTTTTTATTGCTATTGATTGAGCTCTACATTTTTCTCTGCTCCACTCCCTGCCTCTTCCCTCTCTCCTTCAATCCTCCCCCAAGGTCCCCATGCTCCCAATTTACTCAGGAGATCTTGTCTTTTTCTACTTTCTACTTCCCATGTAGATTAGATCTATGTAAGTTTTTCTTAGTGTCTGCATTGTTGTCTAAGTTCTCTGGGATTGTGGTTTGTAGGCTGGCTTTCTTTGCTTTATGTTTAAAAACCACCTATGAATGAGTGCATGTGATAACTGTCTTTCTGGGTCTGGGTTACTGTCCCGCGCTTTTCTGTGAAACCTCACTCTCTTGGCACAGGGCGTGCCTCCTGTACCAGGCCACAAATCTGGAACAATATCCTAGGAGTTGAACAGACACACACACAGAGAGAGATTGGATCATTTGCCCAAAGGGTAAATGTCAATTTTTATTCAGCACACGTAGGCTTATATACTTGGAGGCAAGAGGACGAGAGCCCCCCTCCCACCTGGGAGTGAGATCATAGTGTTGACCACTTGGGGCCAGTGGCCTGAGCCTCCATGCTGGGAACATTGACAGACAGATGGGAGGAGATTTAGGGCGCCTGTGAGGACCTTCTTAGCAGGTGAAATTATCATAGCAATGACAGAAACAAGGCTTTGAACTAATTCCCTCCGGCTGGCAAAATGAGCAGGGGAAGCTAAGCTGGTTAGCATAAACAGTTCTTGCATCCTGTGTTTAGACCTCAAGGAACAGGGAAGACAGGGCCCTACAGGTTACCTCACTCAAAATAATGTTTTCTAGCTCCATCCATTTTCCTGCAAAATTCAAGTTGTCATTATTTTTTTTCTGCTATGTAGTACTCCATTTTGTAAATGTACCACATTTTCCTTATCCATTCTTCAGTCGAGGGGCATTTAGGTTGTTTCCAGGTTACGGCTATGACAAACAAAGCTGCTATGAGCATAGTTGAGCACATGTCCTTGTGGCACGATTGAGCATCCTTTGGATATATACCCAAAAGTGGTATTACTGGGTCTTGAGGAAGGCTGTTTCCTAATTTTCTGAGAAATCACCATACTGACAACCAAAGGGGCTGTGCCAGCTTGCATTCCCACCAGCAATGCAGGAGTGTTCCCTTTTCCCCACAACCTCTCCAGCATAAATTGTCATCAGTGTTTTTGATCTTGGCCATTCTTCCAGGTGTAAGATGGAATCTCAGAGTTGTTTTGATTTGCATTTCTCTGATGACTAAGGATGTTGAACATTTCCTTAAGTGTCTTTCAGCCATTTTAGATTACTCTGTTGAGAGTTCTCTGTTTAGGTTTGTACTACATTTTTTTTTTTTATGGGATTAGGTGATCTTTTGGTGTCCAGTTTCTTGAGTTCTTTGTATATTTTGGAGATCAAACCTCTGTCTGATGTGGGGTTAGTGAAGATCTTTCCCCAATCTGTAGGCTGTCGTTTTGTCTTGTTGACCGTGTCCTTTGCTTTACAAAAGCTTTTCAGTTTCAGGAGTTCCCATTTATTAATTGTTTCTCTCAGTGTCTGTGCTGCTGGGGTTATATTTAGGAAGTGGTTTCCTGTGCCAATGCGTTCAAGTGTACTTCCCACTTTCTCTTCTATAAGGTTCAGTGTGGCTGGCTTTATGTTGAGGTCTTTGATCCATTTGGACTTGAGTTTTGTGCATGGTGATAGATATGGGTCTATATTCATTCTTCTACATGTTGATATCCAGTTATGCCAGCACCACTTGTTAAATATGCTTTCTTTTTTCCATTTAATATATTTTTCTTCTTTATCAAAGATCAGGTATTTGAAGATGTGTGGATTGACATCTGGGTCTTCTATTTGGTTCCATTGGTCCTCCTGTCTGTTCTTTATGCCAATACCAGTGAGTTTATTTCTTATCCAAACCTGTAACAAGGTAAAATGTGTCTGGACTTAGTATTGGCTCTGTTCTAAGAGG